GTATCTTAGAAATGCCTGAACCAATCACAATCAAACTTCACACATACATCATACATGATATTATACATATGCACGTCAATTTGTTTCACGATCTGATTCAAAATGGCCGACTGGCAGCCATTTTGTTTTAATTAATGAATGTGGTTCTAGTGCCATATGTCTGACTTGCTTCACTGATTATGTTCAAATTTTAAATATTCATTATACATCATGTCATAGATAGACAGATATATTGGTTAGATGATCCTATTAAAAATGGCCGAATGGTGGCTATTTTTGTGCTAAAAAAATCCTCAAATATCAAGCATTTCTTGCATTTATGGATGAATTTTGTTCAAGCTTATAACATACATTAGACATTAGACATTACAGGTTCCTGATACACGTCATTTTATTTTTCAGATTGGATTCAAAATGGCTGTCTGGCGGCCATTTTGTTTTAATGATTGGGCTTCTAGAGCCATATCTCTTAAATGCTTTGACTGATTATATTCAAATTTTATTATTATTCGTTATACATCATGTTATATATATATATATATACATGTATTCAAAATGGCTGATTTTGAATGCTGTCCAGAACAATATCTCTCAATATGGACAAGTACAGTACTCATTCCGCCCAACCTCCCGCTTTTATCGCTTTTTTTCCGACCGCTTATCGCTTAATTTCCGACCGCTCGCTGCTTTCCGACCGGAAACCGACCGCTTTTTTTCCGCTCGCTCGCGTTCGCTTTTGTTCGCTCGCTCGCTCGCTTTTGTTCGCTCGCTCACTCCTGCTATGGCTGGCTTCAGAAACATCGTCCGCTTGCCAGCCGACCGCTGGAGTAACAATGATCGTACATTGTATGTATAAACTTAAGTTTTTATTCGTAATAAATTTAGGTTTTAATGACGATTCAAAACACAACGCCTATTGCTTCTCTGTTTTGGAACAAAGACGCCTTCAAATCACTTGACACATTGTAACGTTTGCTACGCAAGTCGAACTGTGACCTGTATTTACATATTTACGTCCTTGTGTGTGTAGTTCAAGCAGCTATATGACTGGTCAATCGCGATATTATTGAGTACTAGTATTTGTGTGTTGTGTGTGTGTGTTTCTGTGTGTGATTTTGACTAAATTTATTCCGAACGGCGCTCAAAATAATTTGACACTTTGTTATTTTCGAACGCAACTCACACTTTGACCCTTACTCAATTTGCATAAGTAATACGAATGCTGTAGTTCAGAAAATCTATTGGTTAACTTTTGCTCGTGTCTGGGTGCGCAAAACAAAACTGCACATATAATTATCGCATAGCTGAATTTCTACAAATCAATTGGACTTAAACTACTAGTATAATGATTGTGACGATTAATCGCTTGTCTGAGTACATGCGGCGACGAATTATTGGATTGGCAGCAGCCGGACGAAAAATGAAAGAGATCTCGGAACAGTTAATTTGTTGAGGAAAACAAAACAAACGCAGCCAGTGATATATTTTGAAAACAAAAATACAAAATAATCGCAATCAGAGGCGCCGACCACGCGCGTTGGAAATAAATAAAACGTGTTGTGACAGTCTCACCAAACTCTTTCACTCGCGCAATATAATTATGTTATTTCCCAAAGCACTTATATTTAATACATTGACGAAAAACACCGCAAGAAAAATGTAAATCAGGCTTGTAATTACTACTCGAACGCAATGTTGATCACTGTAAAAGTGGATAAATTCGAACCGTCATCAAATTCAAAATTCAAGCGATCTCGTTGAATGTCAAAAATAAACTCGATGTTTAGAAAGACAAAAACAACACCATATTAGAGTGCAAAAAAAGTTAGCAGCAAAGAACGAGAAGTGCATGTGGGAAAGCGATGAGTGAACTCGAGGAAAATTATGCTGATGTGAGAACAAGCCATATACTCGCGGAGTACTCGCTAAAACATCGAGAAAATGTGCCATTTCAAAGGGCACCCTTACAAATAATGTCTGCGATTGTGTGAACATGAAAACGTGCAAACAAGGAACAGAACTCGTGGTCCACAAGGAAACTTAGCGATGACGCAGTTAGATGTATACGGCTGTTGAAAACAGACTCCTTCGATCTCATATAAGCAGGTTCACGTGGATGTATCATTTTCAACTATTACCAACAACGCTATGATAACAAAGACATTGTGAAATTCTTTTGTTTTTATGTAGAAAAATACAGTAATTTTACCAAGTAAAATCATATTTATTAAAATTGTTGTTCATACACGAGTTGTCGAACACACTACATAGTTTGTAATTTCATCTAGCTCCTTTCAGTCATGATTCAAAACAAATAAAAGGCACAAATATAGATAATATAGCAAATTATTTTTTTCTGTAATATTCGTGTGTAATCAGTAATTATGAAAAAAAATTATGGGTACATATGAAATAGATTTCGTTATGAATTATTCTTAATATCAATTTCTAAATTATTTTGTCAAAATCAGTTTTTTTTCCAGGTTTTTTCCCCAAAACGAAAGAATTTCGTAATGTCGGGAACGAGAAGTTTTTTTCTTATTATTATTTTTTGGGAACGGAAAGTCTTTATCGTAGAGCTTCGCCTCGGTTGACAATGAGCTCTTCGGGTCGCTAAAACTGTATGTCCACTTCTGTTGGGGTGAACATTTGTATTATTATACTGAATAAATCTTAGAACAGAAATGGTGGCACTCAATTATGGCAATCTTCCAGCTCATCGTTAGAAAGATTTTAGAGGCAAATTTAATCTTGAAGGATTGCAGGAAATTGACCCTTACCGATTCATATTTATGAATTAATCGGGATTCAGTATCATAGTGTTTGTAACAGGAAAAAAAAACGCTTTCGCGTGGGATTTTTCATGCAAACATTGTGAATGGTTCCCCGACACTGATTTCTTTTTAACTTTCAATTTTTCTAAAACGCGGCAAACCCTGCTCATGACCGGAGACGTCGTCGAGATGCATGTGCGATTCCTCTTAGCAACGCGTTCTATTTATTTCCAAAGCGTGTGGTCGGCGCCTTTGATTGCGTTTATTTTGTTCTTTTATTCACGTAATCTATCACTGGCAGCGTTTGTTTTGTCGCGTCTCACAACTTAATGTCCAAGCTGACTTTGTTTTGGCTGTAAGTGAACTACGTACAGCTCATGAAAGTATTTCGCCCAGAG